AAAGAGTAGGAAAAATCAAGAGATCGGCATCCTGGAGGCCATGGAGGAGAAGAGAGGCACCTAGGAGGAGGAGAGCAGTGTCCACAGGCTGGGGCCTGGGCAGGGTGGGGCACATGGGCACAGCAGCAGAGTGATGAGTGAAGCGCAGGTGGGGAAGAGGAGACAGCAAGTGTGGACTGGAAAGGGTGGCAAGACCAAAGTCATGGCCAGAGAGGCAGCAGCTGTGACTGAGGCAAGATCACGATGACTCAGATCAAGGGCTGCACAACACTCACCTTGGGTGGGAGGAGACCCTCTTTTATTTCCAAAGAGGAGAAGAGGTGAGGAAGGTGTGGATGAGTGGCCAGCTTCTGCGGACTGTGTTTTCAGGAGGTGAGATCAACTGCTCCAGAACAGGAGAAGAGGCAGGCTGCAAGGCTTGCAGAGAAGAGAGAAGGGAGAGAGTTGGCAGAGTGTGGGAGCCGAGATCACTGGAAACACAGGACATGGAGCTGAGGTCAGAGACCCTAAGCATATTCGAGGAATGGTTAAATTGCTCCAGAGTTATGATCTGGTTGCATGAGTCCAACCTAAATCCAGAAGGATGTGGATGTAGGAGGATGGAGAAGAGAACGGTTGAGGTGCTGGTGAGCAGGCGTCTCAGCTAGGCTGAGAAGGAGACAAACAGGAGATGACAGGAGGGATCCAAGGAGCTGGCGTGTCAAAGTACAGGTGAGGAAGAGAGAGGATGGGAGTCGCAGTCAGCAGTGGATGATGGGTTTTAAGTGAAGAAATTAAATGCTCAGGCTTAAAAGGATGGCCCCCCGCCCCCAGCTGCTGTATAGAGAACAGGCCAGGAGGGCACAAGGTCAGGAGCAGGGAGACCACTTAGAAGGCACTGCCAGTAGACAATGATGGTAGCTTGGACCAAGGTGGTAACAAGGAGGTGGTGCAAAGTCAGGGGGACTTGGGAGCCAACAGGAGTTGATGATGAATGAGATGCAGGGTATAAAACAAAGAGAAGAGTCTAAGAATGTATCAAGCACCTACCATGTGCATATGTGTATGGTGAGGGGAACTTAGCCGTTTAAAGGTGAAATAGACAGGAAACTGATCATTACCTACTGTGCTCTTGGCACTTAGAAGTGAGTGTGATGTACTGATAGCGGGATGGGAGTGCAAATAAGTCTGCTGGGTCGGGAGGGAATGGCGCAAGGAGGGCTTCCAGGAGGAGGTACCACTGGAGATGGCACTACAAGGTATAGAGGAAGGGCATTCCAGGAAGATCATGTGCAAAAGCCCAGAGGCAAGACTGGGGAGCTTGTCATGGCCAAAACTCAGCGAGAGGTCATTGTGGCCCTTGGCTATTGTACTTGAAGACAGAGTAAGACTGCAGAGAGACGCTGGAGCCACAAGAGAGCAAGCGGGTGATGCTGGGTGCCTGGATGGAGAGGTGGGAGGCTAAGGGAAGGCATCCCATGAGGGCCTCCTTTTTAAGGACAACTTCTAAGATGAGTTAGCACAGCTGGACTTCACGCCTACAAGAAAGGCTGTAGACGGTGTGCAGAGTGAGAGAGGGAGCCCTCTGGGGAAGAAAAGTAGACTGCCTGGGTACTGAGAGAGAGTTCTCTTGGCCTCATCAAGGCTTTCCTGTGGCTGGGATATAAGGGCTGGCAAAGGTGTGTGCTGGCAGCTGGGGACAGATGAGGAGGCAAGACAGGCGAGGCAACTGGTTGACCCAAGTAGCTGTCGTAACTCAAGAGTGGCTCAGGGAGCAGAAAGCTGGTAGTGACTGTGAAGGGGTTTGTCCACTGATGCCCCCACAGCAGGACAGCATTACAGGGACAATGCTCATGAGCCAGGTGCCCATCCTCAGGGGTGTGGGGGCAGTTCCCCATTCCACACTCATGGCAGGCAATAGGGAAGGAAATTCCCACGACCCCCTCTGACTCCCAGAGATCCCGGCTGTGGTCCACTGAGAGAATGTTAAGGGGGCGCTGCAGGGAGGTGTAGGCGGCAGACTGCAGCACTGTGGGCACAGGTGGGTGTGAGACTCAAACCTGCCATCTGTGAGGAACAGAGGGAACATCTCCTAGGGAGCTGCCACCTGTGGAGTCTGGAGCCCAAGGCACAGGCATCTGTATTTTCTGTGCATGATGTCTGCGCACAGTGGGAAGAGAGCAAATAAAACAACATTGTAGCAGATACTGTCAGCGCCCACCCATCTCCCCAAGACCTTCAGTGCACATGGGCCAACTTCCACCCGAGCACGTGCCTGCATTTCTTTGCCCAGGGGCTTTCTCTGCCCACCAAAATCCTTGTTGCCCACCCGTGTAGCAGACAGCAAGTGCAGAAAATTAACACCTGGAGAGAGCAGCCCAACCAGTGGCTGATGGGAATGGGTGTATAAATACCCCACCTTCTCTTCCCTGTCTCTTTTTTCCCCACTCCACTCCAGGTGTTTCATTTAGCCCCCAAATTAACAACTTGAATTTGAATTCCTGTCTGAGTCTGCTTTTTGCTTAGACAAAACTTCAGCAGGATACAGTGGGAACATGTTGGGGCCAAAAGACTGAGTTTACATTCCAGCTCCTTCGTGTTTAAGGAGTTCCCAGCTCACAACAAACTTCCATACAGGCTGGTTGAGCATAAATTGGAATATTAATGTTTACAAGACCCAGGCCATACTGCAATATGCCATGTTGCCCCCAATCCAAATAAAAACCATGCTGATAACAATCCTCTTTGGCCGGCTTCAGGCTCACCACTGGAAGCATAGCCCACTGATTTGTCATCCTGGGCTAAATATAAAAGAATTGTAGCCTGAGTCAGAAAGTTATTTTCAACATGCTCTTACTTTGCAGCCATTGAGGGATGCTGTTCTTGAGGGCCACCTTCTTGAGGACTGAAGTTAACCCTGGTGGTCCCCACATTCCAGTGACTGCCCAGCCCCTCTCCCAGGGAAAATCGTTTCCTCAAACCACCTGACTGATGCTCCAGCCACCCCCAAACCCACCAGGTCTCAGCTACTGTTCCTGGCCACTCTCCAGAGTAGTAACTGGGTCCCTTCCCAGGGCTGAGGTCTCCTCTCTCAAAAGCCACAGAAATAGAGAGAGCAGATAGTGAACAGACACCAGTATTTACTAAGAGCCTACCGAGTGCTGGGCCCTGAAAGTTATGAATCTTCACAAAATATCTTTCAGAGAAATATTGTCTCTATTTCACAGACAAGGAAAGCGAGATTTAGGTGGCGGATAACTTGCTCAGGGCTGTGTGACCAAGGTTTGAAAAGCCTGTGCTGTGAGATGCTGTGGCACCAGGAACCATTTCTCTGTGGTAGGAGGTGGGTGATATGCAAGGGCCCAGGTCAAAGGCATGGGGAGGGGGGCATGGTGCCTCTGCCTCTCAGTAGGGGACTCTTGTTTCTTTGGGGGCAAGGAAAAGAGAAAGAAGTTCCCATAACTTGTCAAGGACCCTCACTCCTTGTCTGCTCAGTCTCACAGGCACCTGTAGCCTCTGTCCAGGATGAAACACCTCCAACGCCCTACTCCCCCCCCCACACACACCCCACTGCTGCTGAGGGTGAATGACTTTGAGATAGTGGTCTCTGCTTCTTGGATTGTGCCTTTGCAGTTAGTTGCTTGCCTTTCCAGAGACATGGCCTCCATGGGGCGGGGGGGAGGGGTGATGTCAGGGGAGAGGTTTATAGGAAGGAGGGTCTTCTCTGCACAGCTCAGATCTCCACCCCTACCTGCCTGGTTCTGTACTCCCTCAAAGCCATCCCAGAAGCCTTCCCTGACCACATCCAATGGGACTGCCCCACAGTCTTGCATTCCAACAGCCCATCGGCATTGTGTTGACTGTAGCTTAACTCTGGGCTCTATCTCTCACCTGCCTAAAAATATCCATGGCTCCTAACTACCCACAAAATAAAAGCTGAACTTCCTTGCATTTAAGGGCCTACGCCATCTGTTCCAAGCGAAGTTTTCTGAGTTTATCCTACAAGATATTCGCAGGCCCCAAACTTGTTATCCTCTGGCTCACCCGTCCCTTCCACTTGTATACCCTCAGCCCCTCCTCATCCCAGCTGATCTTTGTCCATCCTCTGAGACTCCTCAACGCTGTTGCTGAGCCTGAGTCCCCCACACTACATACACGTACTGATATTCTCTGCACATTGCTACTTGGGGAGCAAGGGCCATGTTTAATCCCTCCTGACGTGTGTGAGCCCGGCACAGTGCCTGGCATGGGGCTAGGCTTGGTCAACATTTAATTCTGGGGTTCTTACCCCTTTTTGTGCTAGGGACTACTTAGGCACCTGGTGAAGCCTATGGATCCCTACTGAGAGTCATGATTTCAAAAGCGTAAAACAAAATACAAAGGCTTACAAATAAAACTGATTTTATTGAAAAAGTTGTCAAAATATTTTTACATGAAATTTGTGGCAGTAATGTGCTTCTAAATTCAGGCATTAAATAACAATATCTAGTGGTGCATTGTAATGTCTGTCATTTCTAGTGAGGAGCATAGACAAGTTTTTTGGGTTTTGTTTTTGGTTTCGGTTTTTTTGGCAGCCGGCTGGTACAGGGATACAGAGAATATTTCAAAGCATCTGCAACGACTGAATGTAATAGGAAAATACCTGTGGGGAATTGCTATACTAGTTTGAGTCATATGAAACTGCTGATATTGCACCAGTTTTGAGCTACAAAAACAGCTAACTTCACGTGGTTTTGTCTCACTCTACTCTGGTTTGTTGCCTACACTCACTGAAAGAAATGTTCAATTTCAGGTAGAGGTGAGTAAAAACGAAGATTATTACTTTTCGCCATCCAAGTTCATGGACCTCCTGAATTACATCAGAGATCCCTTTGGGGAAGGTCCCTTGAGAGCTCCTAGCTGATGACTCAGCCAGGGCTCCTGAAGGGTACAGAGAGTTCCCCCGCCCCCTGTGTGCCCAGAGCCTGCCTGGGCGTCCTCCCCCTCCGCAGGCAGCTAACCCGTCGGTCTGTTCCCTACAGGCTCCCTGTTCCCGCAGCTGAAGCCATCGGAGGGCGTCTTCAAGGTTATCTTCTGGCTCGGCTACTTCAACAGCTGCGTGAACCCGCTCATTTACCCCTGCTCCAGCCGCGAGTTCAAGCGCGCCTTCCTCCGCCTCCTGCGC